ATTTATTTTAAATTCAATTAAATGAAATTGATTCTTGAACTGATGCTTTTCTCCAATAAACGTAAATTGAGTGAATCAGCATCATGGATTTCCATAAAGCCAACGCGTGTTCATTAATTTAGAACACGGAACATAAATCATAATTATGTTACTTAGTATAAATACATTTATGATATTGCAATCGCTTTTAAATCATCTAATTGTTGATGCCAATACTTGGGAGTGTCAAACTTGGTTCATACTTGAGTTGAATCTAACTGTCTGCAGACAGGAATGAGAATGCAATGTTTCATATGTCAGATATTGACCCTCTGTCGTCTCTTCTGTGTTTTAGGTGATATATTCCTGCTCGTCTTCAGTCTCGACGACCGCAGCTCGTTCGAGGAAGTGCGCGCTCTGCACGCCGAGATAGTGGCGGCCAAAACGGCGCTGCACCGATTCAAACAGAAGGCGTGCGTGCCGACGGTGGTCTGCGCGAACAAGGTGGACTTGCCCTCGGAGCAGCGCGCGGTGTCGCGGACCGAGGTGCACCGCGCGCTCGGTAACGGCTGCGCTCTGTTCGAGACCTCCGCCAAAGACAGCGTCAATCTGGAGCAGGTGTTCGAGGCGCTGGCGCGGCGCGGCGGCCTCCCCCTCGAGACCGGACCCTCGCAGCACCGCAAAGTGTCCATCCGCTCGTACCAGGCGCTGCGGGCGGCGCGGCAGGCGGAGAGAGGGAGCACGGCGGCGGCGTGCGACGCTCCGTGCGGGGCGCTCTTCCCGCTGGCCCGCAGACCGAGCTTCGGCACCGACCTGCGGCTGGTCCTCGGGCCCAAAGCCGGCAGAAAACAGAGCAAAGCGCTGGACAAGTGTCAGATTCAGTGAAACAACTCCGACTGAGAGAAAGAGAACCGCTTTCAACAAAGAACACTGACGATATTGCAGATACTTTGATATGTGTTTCTTTTGGAGATAGATCAGAATCGTTTTTATACATAAATGTGACCCTGCAGCAGTCTTAAGTCACTGGGGTATATTTGAAGTGAAGTGAAGTGAAGTGACATGTGGCCAAGTATGGTGACCCATACTCAGAATTAGTGCTCTGCATTTACCCATCCAAAGTGCACACACACAGCAGTGAACACACACAAACCGTGAACACACACCCGGAGCAGTGTGTGTTCAGTGTGTAATATTTGTAGCAATAGCCAACAATACATTGTATGGGTCAAAATTATAGATTTTTCTTTTATGCCAAAAATCACGAGGATAAAGTAAATGTTCCATGAGGATATTTTATAAATTTCCTACTGTAAATATATCAAAACTTATTTTTTGATTAGTAATATGCATAGCTAAGGACTTCATTCGGACAACTTTAAAGATGATTTTCTCAATATTTAAATTTTTTTGCACCCTCAGATTCCAGATTTTCAAATAGTTGCATCTCGGCCAAATATTGTCCTATCCTAACAAACCATACATCAATGGAAATATTATTTATTCAGCTTTCAGATGAATGATGTATAAATCTCAATAAAAAAAAAAATTGACCCTTATGACTGGTTTGGTGCTCCAGGGTCACATATATAGAATTGACCATTGCATTTTAACCCTGGCCTATAAAATGCATTATGTTGCATATGCTGACATTGGAAAGCCATTAAAATAATTTTTACTGATGTACATAATCATTTTAATTCTACTCGATGCATTTTAATGTGGGAGGAACAATGACACATTTATGTAAACTTTAGGTTCAACACGACAGATCCCCATTGCAAACCCCCTGTTGAAGATCTCTGTCATATTTAATGACTTGAATGACAATACTGTGATTATGTCTGACACATGATGAACCGAATTGACTTGAGGCCGCTTTTATCGCTTTTATCAGAGCCTTGTTTATGTCTTTCTGATGAAGATCCACTGAGAATGATTGAAAAGCCTGTTGAGCGACTGGTTTGTTTGAATGCATGAGATCCTGTATAATAGACATTTGAAATAAAACATTTTCATACAAATCCTGACGTCTTGAGTCAGTCTGATGATTTGGTGAAAAGCTGTACTAACAGATGCCACCTCAGTCTTGTAATGAAGTAGAGAGAAGTGTGTCACGATTCCTTCATTCAAAATAAATAAACAGTTGAGAGCCTGTGGGCGTTTAGATGAAATGATAGAGCCTTGACTCTCTCTGATTGCATAAGAGACTTTACATGATGCTGCTGTACAGGATGTGCTGTGAGAAAGAGAGGAAACTATCTATCTATCTATCTATCTATCTATCTATCTATCTATCTATCTATCTATCTATCTATCTGTCTGTCTGTCTGTCTGTCTGTCTGTCTGTCTGTCTGTCTGTCTGTCTGTCTGTCATCTATCTATCTGTCTGTCTGTCTGTCTGTCTGTCTGTCTGTCTGTCTGTCTGTCTGTCTGTCTGTCATCTATCTATCTGTCTGTCTGTCTGTCTGTCTGTCTGTCTGTCTGTCTGTCTGTCTGTCTGTCTGTCATCTATCTATCT